AAATATTTGAGAAAATGATACAGCGGCCGATCTGGCAACACTGGAGGCACCAGGCTTGGCGGGGAACATGTGATCAGCCTTCAGTACAAGTTTGAACTCGCTCGACTCATTTGGTTGTCCGTAGAGATTTTTTTGTGAACCAGCTTTCTCTATTGTGTTCTAAAACTGAGAGGCATCAATTTCGAACAAAGATGTGCTTTCAAATTTTGCTACAGACTGGGATAGAGTGTAATGGAAACTCTTGTTAAATTTCAGCAGGCTCGCGGAGATAGTGTTGTGTCAATAGACCAGGTTTTTCCGTGTCGTGGGGCATTTTCAGTAGTGCGAGAGCCTAGAAGATGAAGGCCTTCATCTTCAAGAACCGATGGAAATATCGACAGAATGCGGGATTTGCGCGTTCAGATCATCAGAATGATCGGGGAGGAGTTGAATTTGACTCATACCACCGTTCATCAGATTTTGACCAGTGAATTGGGGATGAGAAAAATCTGGGCAAAAATGGTTTCAAAAAGCCTTCGAGTTGTTTTCCAGTTAAAACATTTCTTTGGCTCCTCAACCTCCTTATCCGCCTGACTTGAGTCGTTGTGACTTTTGATCTTCCCTTAGCTCACTCAAGGGAGCACATTTTGGGATAGAGGGAAACATTCAAACGGCTGAAGTCTATTCCAGTATCAGAGTTCCAGCACTTGTATCACGAGTGGAAGAACCGTCTCCAGCGCTCTGACGCTTCAGAAGGAAGCTATTTTAAGGAAGATAATATAAAATTGTAAATATATCTGCCTTTTTACTTAATCTACAGACTTTGCAACCTGGAGAAAATCAACCTTTCCACTGCGGTCATCATCTAAAAGTGATTCCTTTATTGGGCAAATAGGAAACAATGTAAAAATAGTAGATCGTTATCTGAAAAATATATGATAAAATAATGCAATTCTTATATGATATATAGGATATGCAATAATATTTACCTTTCCGACCATGTCATCTTTTTAAATTATCCATTTCTTGAACAAATTAACATTTTTGGGGCCCCTATGACTAAGCCAACAAAAGTACCATTTCCAAGATTTGTACCATTATAGAGTGGGTAAGTGTGTTCTAACTATACTGCAGTCACTATCACTACCAAAAGATTTTATTGCCTGGCATAGTAGATGTATTTTAGAATTTTATTAAAATAATATCTGTTTGTACGATACATAGACACACCTTAGAAGCCTAACGCTCCGTATACAAAGATGATATTTGAGACAAAACATAACCTAATAACATAATCTTATTTATATGTGTATTTCCGAAAGCTGTCTCGATATAGCGCAGTCTCTTTCATTTGAAAGCAGGAATTTCATTCAGTAACTGAATTTGCAACAACATATGCCTCTTTGCTTTGTCTAAGAAAAACGGACCGGGAAAGGATAATACTGGAAATCAAATCAGACCCGCTTTCAACTTTCCGCACATATAAAATGCCTGAGGATTCTGCCTGTTTCACGACCTACGCTAAGTGAATAAAGTCTTATTGCATAAAGATCTGAGATTTCAAAAAGTAACTACAAGCAAATATACCGAAGGTCTCCCTTACCACTTGGATCTCGGAAACTGTAAGAGATATGAAGAGAGTTGGCTATTTTGGAGGACAGAAGTGCCTGCATCGGTCCAGAGCATAGGCTGGGCATGAACAGGCGCCAGGTAAGCACAGCCCAGAAGAATAGATGTACATATATATAGAGAGAGAGAGATGGCGCTGGCTAGTGGACAGGGGTAAAAAATCGCTCAATCTTTTGGTGGGGATCCCATTTTGAGAGTGAGGAGAGATCCAACCTGCCTCATGTAATGGGAGGAAGTCAAGGCAGCGTTCTACTTTATGGACCATTGCCTCGAATATTGCAATCTAAAAGCTGAGATATGCAAGGGCATGGAGTTTGATGGTGAAGTTGCTTATTAAGCGGGATGGTTGGACATCCTGACCTTGTAGAGTTGCGTGTTGGTACACTCGGGGTCAAAGGTGGCCTACTTGCCAGACCCCGCCTCTTGTGTACTACTACTATTGCTCACACGCTCGAACTCATGGCTAAGCGTCGTATCGTCAGTCGTTACTACAATTATTGTAGGACGCCTTTATGGCCTGCTTAATTTTGATAGTATTTTCTTTCCTTCAGACAGGCTGGGATATTTCTAGATTTTTACGGTTCAAGCGTGAGACATTAAGTAAAGTTCCATTACGTTTTGGCTGCCTCAATGTATCTGGCTGAATTTACCGACCACGGGAGGGTATCTGGCAGCGCTAGATATTACTTTGAAGTGTTTTACAAAGTATATATAAATATCAGCTATGAGAATTTAAGTAAAGTTAGCCTTATTTTTACTCACCTTTCTCTCGTGGTATCTGTAAGTCCAAGCAGATATGCAGGCGTTAAAAGTACGTAAAATCGCTACTCAATGTCCCAAATTTTGTCTTTGATACATGCGCGAAATTACTAAGTATTAAACTTGAAGAGAGTGGGAGAACAAGATTTCCACGTTACAAGAACTGAATCCTAAAGTCAGTTAATGGCAGGCAGACACAGGCAGGCTAGTGATGATGAAATGTCCCACTAGGATAAAATACGAGGAGCTACCATAAATAACCGGAACAGCATTACAGTGGGCGGAGCTTGTGTAGTACACATTTCTGCCCCTAGAGGCGGACAGTTCAACTCATTACCAGTTCAGTGCCACCTACGTTGTCGATCTGGCTTGTTTCGTTCCCCTGCAGTCATTATTTTTGCTAGAGCTGTTTCATGCTTGTTTCGTTTTTTTGATGCAAGCTTCAGTGAGCTACGGGCAGCTGTGAAATTTTGCTTTCTAATTGGTAAAAATGCTGGTGAAACTGTTTTAAGCACCGGTGGGACAAGTGTATTAGTTATAGAGGACAGTATTTTGAAGGAGATAAGGTTACTTTGTGAAAAAGTTGAAAATAAATAGCTTTTAAAAAATAATTCCGTTTTTTTTTGGTACCCCCTCGTATAATGCTCTGTTTGAATCATTGTAATTCAATATATAAGATTTGACTATTCATGTAAATATAGTTAATTAACTGATGTAGCTTATGTAAATGAAAAAAATTCAAAAGCAAACCCTAATGGCAGATCTGTGCATAAGTAAACATACGCACTCTCAACTTTTCCAATTCCAGTCCTAATTCCTTGCTGAACACGCAGTCTCTAATGTATTGTAATAACAGAGTCTTTGTTTATTTTTTATTGTTTGATGGGTTATTTATCAAAATTTAAAAGGGCATGTAGCATTGGAATAACCGTATATTTTGTTATTTGATATTATATAGGTTTTTTATTTAGAAACATTTAGCACAGGACAGGACAGAAAAACTGCTTCAAACACCATACTAAATCAATTTTGAAAAAAAAATTTCTCTAATAAAATTTAGCTTCTATTCGTTTGCTGACTAAGAGAAAGGTTTATTGTGTTGTTATCTTGTAAGACATGTGATACTCTAACCCAACTGGAATCCCTTTAGTGCCTACTAGTTGCCATTGGTGGGACATAGAAAAAAATGAGAAGTTATTCAGATCAATTACAGACTAACGCAGAATTGCTAATTTGTTGATATCTGTCTCAAAAACGACGTTTTTAAAACCCATAAATTTGAAAAAATAGACCTTCTTTTGAACTGTTCTTGAGAAAAATACTCTTGTTTCAGTACACTTTCATCGATCATGATACTGCATCCAATATACTGGTTTCGCCATTGTGGATTTATCGTAATTCTGATAACAGATTAGTAATCAGTGACACGAAAAAAAAAACAGGATATTCCAGATCAGTAAAGCAAGTTTTAGATTTTTGTACAAATTTTTGTAGAGTTGGTTCAGCTTAAATCGATAGTAACAATGACACTATTTTTCTATATAGCTGCTCGAAATCAAACAAGATTTTATTATTGGATCCAGGAATATCAATTGTGAGCAGTTTTTATAAAAAGTGTTAACTATAGCAGTTCAGTGAAATCGTTTGAGGGCTTAAAACTCCGTATGGAAGTACGAAGTATTTTTTCATGGGAGCTTGAAGCATTATTTTTTATGCATCCGAGAAACTGACGGGTATTTTTTTAAGTACATCAAAAAATAAAACATGTAACCATTTTTAGAAAACTATGAAACTAGACAACTCTTAGTTGCTATAACATCGTCTAGGAAGACGTGGCTAATATACTAATAGACTTGTGCCCATTTCTTGCGAAATAATGTTCGATACAGATTTCATACTAACTTCTTTATACTCAGCACTACTTAGTCGTCAGCGAAATACCTTCTGCCATTTGAAAGCAACACAATAGGTAAACTTATCTATTTTTTGGAAATAGAAAACAAAAGATACTATAGTAAAGCTTGTAAAGAACTTGCTTCCAGTGGCTGTCATCTTTTCTAAGTAGGTGCATGCAGTGAATAAAAATAACAATTGAATGCAAAATTCCAAGCAGTCACTCTGTGCTTAAAGGATATCTTCAGTACTTTTTTTCACGATTTAATTTTTCAACTAGTAGCATTCCTATTGTCCTATTTAATGAAGTATATCACAGTAGAAATAACAGCCCGAAAGGCCAATTACCGTGATTATGATAGTGTCACATAATTAACTAACGAAACCATCAGAGGAGCATTCATTAAGTGGCTGAATTGTTCAGACATGAAATTAGTAGCTTGTTAGTGGGGTGTGACTGTAAATAATATTTGTCGTCGTGTAGAGAAATGGAGCTCAAAGGTCACATATGGGAGCTTAACGAATACGTGCGAAGTCGAAAAGCAGTGCGAGAGTTACGGAATGATGTATTATTACATAGAGTCTCTGCGAAAAGATCTTTATTCACTTTATGTGGTATGAATTTATGAATGTATCCATGAATGAGCAGTGTGCTGGGTATATTTCTTGTCTATGAAACACTGTAATGACAAATACCTGCTCTGAATCCTTGCCGTCATTATATTAGGGTCTGACCGGGAGCTTCGGCAGCTCGGTGGTCAGCGCGTTGAGCTAGCAACTCCGGGGTCCCGGGTTCGAATCTCGCCTCGGAAGTTCCTTGTTCCTTGCTATGGATGTTGTGTTGTCTATGTCACGACGCTGAGAAATATTAACAGGTACATTTAATCGCTGGAGCTGGTTTATTCTATCATTTATCAGTAAATGACTCATGGAGTAGTCTAAATGTGGCCTAGTAGCCAGACTTCGCCTACTACTACTTAGGGTGTGACCGAAGGTCAATTTTTTGCATGAAGGTGTCGCCATGTCCGGCTTTTAACATAACATTCAGCTGAAGACGAATATTCAATCAAAAATAGATTTATGTTAAAGTGTTTTTTTGTACGCTTGACTGCGTTCCTCATATGTTGTGAACTTGGTTCAAATGCAATATTGCATCAAAACTTGATAATGATTTTTTTTAAATGTTTAAATTTTTGTAATAATAATAATTAATCTAAAGTAACTCGCTTATTATGCAACTTTTATATAGGTGATTTTTTGTATATCAACTTCGTTTGACGAGTTCTACAAGCTGTTAAAATAAATGACTCAACTTTAAAAAGACCCTGAATAATGTGAAAAAGATATACGTAGTTAGCCAATTGGGAGCAACGTTTTAATTAACATATACGAATACACCAGATCATATCTTTTTCTGACATGTGTACGGTACTGGTAATAAAAAAATAAAATACTCATCGACTATGTTGGAGTTGTGTTCCAATAATGAAAGACTTCATTTGAAATAAGGATTTAAAAACAGTTACGTATTTACAGTTGCTTTCATTTGAATCATTTTATTTTTTAACATGGAATAAGTTGAGCAGATTTTCAGCTATTATTGTGATTTGTTATGAAAATTTAGCCTGGTGAAATTAAGACGTGTAGTTCTGAAAATTCGTAGAGCTATTTCTTGAGGTGTCCAGATAAACATACTGAAAGTCCTCTAAGTGTGGGAGGTGAGCCAGCGGTGAAGGATAGTCGGAAAGGCCCATGTTTCAGGTTTTCGCATGGATCTCGTAAACTATTAATAATATTTTTATAATTCTTTTTAATTAATAATATAAATTAAATTCACAACAAATTTTTAACATTGTCTCTGTAGAAATAAGACAGCACAAAGCGCCATCTATCAGCAAAATCGATCGTTGCGGAGAGCGCATAGCTGCTATTAGTTGGAACTGTAAAAGATCTCAGTTCACATTTAATAGCCCAGTTACCATGTGACCACTAGGTGGCTGATGGTAGATGTGGTCTACTTGCCATTGAATATACTAAACATGATGCTTTCATCCTCCCGACCAAAAGACAGAAAACCATACACAGCTGTTTTGTGCTTCTTGGCTATTCATCAGCATGGTCTAGGCTGGATTTCTCATCTCTAGGACAACGAACGAAAGCATTGCAACTATCCTCTATCTCAGAGATACGGTCTATCGGAATAAGACAGCGCAAAGCACCATCTATCATCAGAATCGATCACTCCATAGTTGCTGTTTAGTTTTTGCTGTAGGACGAGTTCTTTAGGAGCCACAGAGAACCAAGTTGATATGAATAAAACAGGTACATTTTTAAAAAACGGTGCCAGGTGGTAGACTCTACACTCCCTAGGCAACACCGTCAGCAGTTCATAAAGGATGAAGCTGAACCGTCTGACAAGAAATGTGTTACGAACATGTGCAATAGATAAGTTAAACGGATCAAGTAACTCAAAGAGACCCATACAATTAGTCCATCTGGTAACGGTCCCTCTTCCCATATCAGCCGGCAGCACCCACCGTAGCACCGCCGCATCTCTGTAGGCAGTAATTTTGTGGGAGTGAAACTTCTGGTAAGGCTATTCTGTAGTAGTAGTGCAATGCAATAACGGTGAATGTGCACACATGACAATCTGTATTTGAATAATGGTGCATGTTCTATCATAAAATTCCAATACTCTTTCACTATTTTCAAAAAATAGTAAGTAAAAATAGTTAACAATAAATCAGACAAACATCAAACACAAAGTGGTAATAAAAGGTAAAGCCAAAGTTAAAAATTAGATGAACAATAGTTGGTTAAAACAATTATAAGGGAGACTAATTACAATAAAAATTATGCCAGGCTGAAGAAAATTGAAGTTAACGGAGTCTTCGACGTCAGAAAAACGTTCAAATAATAGGAAGCATTCCATAGTATTGAAAAGTTGTTCAACATCGAGAGATTCTATTTGATTTGGAAATAGGTTTAAGAATTTTAGCCCGTGGTAATAAACACCACCCTTACTAGTTTTGCAGCAAATAGCCTTCGCAGTTTATAAATAATAATATTGAAAAACGCTCGTAAAACTTCAGCAACATCACGTCATTCATAGTTTTATGGCTTATTGAAAATTGCACCCAAATGTTGACTTATTAATATATTACATGTTTTAACTTTTGCATGTTACGTTCAACCTTATTCATTAACCGGCTATAGGCTTTGCTTATTTCACTTCATGTCAGTAAAATATGGTTTTTCAGCAAATTGATTTTGCAAAATAGGTGCGGTATCCAATTTCTATTTAAAACATTCTAATATTTATACGATTTTCCTAGTAATACAAATGAGAAGTCGAATACAAGAAGATTTTTGAATATGCAAAGCAAATATAAAATAAGTACCCACAGTCGAGTAGGGCACGTAAAACCCATTTTCGACCCGGACTTGCTCGTCGATTACACGGTTTTTTTTGGAGGGGAAATTATGTATTGACTTACGAGGTGCGTACCCAGAAGACGCATCTACCTTTAATGACGCATTTTCAGTAAAAAAAGGTATGTTAGAGAGAAATAAGCTTAGGTGTACATAATATATATTTTTTTCTGTGACGAGAAAAAAGTTTGACATTTTATCTCTGTTGACAGGTAAAAAAATGTCACTTTATATAAAATTTCTTTTTTCCTTGGAAAAAATGAGTACTTTTCTCGGATATTGTACAAACACATAAGCAAAGGATATTTAATTTCAGAATATTTTATTATACAATAAAGTTACATTTCCAAAGAAAACTCTCAATCCGACATTTTTTACTTTCTAGTATTAAAAATAACTTCTAAACAATCACTAAGTTTACAATTTTTTAAATCAAATCACAAAATTGAATTGACAGCTAATTGATTACGTTAAAAGTTTCCTTAGCATCGCAGGTCTAATTGTCGCTATAAGTACAACATAGCCTACTAATTTCGAAATTCAAATTTCACGTCGATAATTTGACTTAAATATTGTAATAATTATATGTTTTTCTGCCATCACAACTCCCGTTGATGTACTTGGTCGCAAGTCTGATGTTATTTCAGCAATACCACACGTTCAGTACCAATTCATCGATATACCCTTCAGCGATCGTTGACGACATTCAGCTGACATGTTTCTTTAGTGTCATCAAGTCTCCCCTAGATTCAACTAAAAGTATAGCAGACAATCTTCGAAATGAATGACCCGTATATGGGTTAACATTTTCACGTTAAAGAAAATTAGCCACTGTGTCGAGAACCTTATGAAACAGGTTTTTAGCCACAACCTGATTGATACATCTTCCATTGTGATATGCATAAAACAGGCAGCGATCCTTTGCTACTGCTGGACGAAGGGCTATGAACATTCGGTAAAATTTAATATATTTTTCAGTAACTGCAAATCTCCTATTTACATCATTCTTTGTTTCCTCAAGTTTCACAATTAATAACGTTCCCGAATCTTCAATATTATATAATGTTACCTGGCTGATTTCACAAATTCGACAAGCTCTTGCAATCCCAAATACAACAACAACCTTGGCCATCAAACAAACTTCATCGGTAGCATTATTTAAAAAATCACTAATTTGTGTACTCGTAAAAATCGCAGCTTTCTTGGGCTTGTAACCTTTCCCATTTTTTTTCAAAAATGTAATTAGTTTGAAATATTTTGAAATGTCTACATTATCATTGGATCGTAACATACTTTTAATCATTAAATAATTCGACCACACTGTGGCTTTTGTTGTTGTGCCAATTCCGAAAAATAAGCCAATAACACCATCTCCGACAAAGAACTGTATATTTTTTTTCATCTTCCATTCCGTGAATCTTGAATACGAGGTTTCGTCAATTTTCCACGATTTAGCTGGCAATAATGTTACTCTACATTGGCTATTTCTACTAATCCTGGTGGAGCCAAAGAAAACTTGGAATCAGACATTTTTTACTTTATAGTATCAACGATAATTTCTAAACATCCAATAAGTTCACAACTTTTAAATCAAATCACAAAATTAAATTGACTAATTTCAAAATTCAAATTTTACATCGATAATTTTCTGACTTAAATATTGTAATAATATAATTTTTCAATATTAAATCATTGTTTTTCCCGTCACAGAAAAAAAATGTGTATTATACACCGGAAAAATACTAGATTTTAAAATCTAGTGCTTTTTTCCCTTGTATAATAAATAACTATTTTTATACTAGGACCATCACGTAGACATAAGGACTAAATATCAATGGGTACTGTTAGGTTATAAGGGGGATAGGCGAAACAGGGGAAAAGTCATAGCAATATTCCTGCCGTACCACTGGAAACTATCTTTGGACACTTCTCCATAATGCCGCATTCGCTGCTTTATGGACAAGTACGGCTTCTAGTATTCATTCTAATATAGTTGTATTATGTTCCTCATTCTACTGACTTTAGCATGTTCAACATCCATATAGCAATGACGACATTGTGTTGCCATGAAGTCATAAATCTTAGTTTCCGATTTGAAATCTGTTCAAACACTATTTAACCGGAAAACATGAATACGGGCTTAACCAACTCACCAGATGGTGACTATTCTGTGCTTGCTCAATCTTGCCACCAGTGGACGGCGCGGTCATCGCGAATCCGGTGATACCCAGCAGCAGCAGTAACACCTCCTGGATCCCTGAAGACATAGTGACAGCTGGTTGCAAGAGGGTGATGAAGGGACGCGAAGACCGACCGACGGACGACCGCTGTTGCTTTGGGGGCGGTTGGTCGTTTGGTAGTTGGCGGCAACGTAACGCGTTCGCGGGAGTGCGGATCGGGAGAAGGACGAGCGTGTTTTATAGGGAGGAGAGGATCGGACGATCGGGATCTCCGCACAGCCAGCGCGTTCAGGACTTGTTGAATACTCGGGATGCTGGGAAGGCGCGCAACAGCCCACGGATGGAGAGGAGGGAGATGTGAGTTGCGATGTGAAGAAGAGGTTCTGGAGCCGCAGGTAGATATTGCCTTGCTCATTTTTTGCAGTTTCTTCCACACATACAGTGCTTTTCATTTTCAAACATAGTAACATCGATATTTCTACAAATATTTGTTATTCTCAGCCGTATATATTCGTACACCTTTTGCTTCAAATAGCCCCATAAAAAAAGTCTGAAGGTGTCAAATCCGGCGAGCGAGCTGGCCATTCCACAGGACCTCGACGGCCAATCCAACGACCGGGGAAACTGTTATCTAAATAATTCCTAACTTGTCTGGAGTAGTGTGGTGGAGCACCATTTTGCTGGAATACAATATCAGTATCGAATTCATTACGATTCGCTTCGACGATTTCGGTGATTGGAGGGTCAATAGTATTTTCCAGCATATCCAAATACAGTTCCCCGGTTAAAGTTTGTTCGATGAATAGAGGTCCCACAATATGATTTCCCAAATCTCCCAGACCACCGTTAATTTTTTGTGGATATTGAGTATGAGTTTCCCGGAAGACGTGGTGTCACTCCAATAACGACAATTTTGTCTATGCACATTACCCTTGAGAAAACATGTACATTCATCACTAAAACAAATATTTTGGATATAGTTAGGATGCCGTGCAATGGTTTCCGTCATAGTCTCGCAGAATTCTATTCTTCGATCAGGCTCATCTTCAGTTAGCTGATATACCATTTGAATTTTGTATGGGTGATAGTTATTCTTTTTCAAAAGTCTCCATACAGTAGAAGGATAAACCTCACATACATTCGCGATGGAGGAAGTAGACTGTTAGGGATTTACTATGATCTCACCAATTATGTGAACTTGCTTTTCTTCCGGGATGGTTGGATGGATGACCACCAGTAGCTGTAAATTTAGATATAGAAATATTTTCTACAGATAGGACGATTCGGGAAACGATCATTAAAACTCCTTTGGGTCTCGTGAAAGTTACGCGTCGCACCATAAATAAAAATCACTTCGATTTTTTCTTCCAGTGGACGAGAATTGACAATTTTAAAAATATAACAGTATCTAGCACTAGAACCGAAAACTAAATAAGAGTATTTTAACTGTACAATGATGTTTGTTTTCGTACTGATATTCTTGACCCCGTCAACAAAAAATAACAAAACAAGTTGCTGTTGCTGTGGATATGGCAGGGAATTACAATTATTTGTAGAGATATGCATGTTAGTGGGTTTGTGTTCAAGTAATTATTAAATATAGCACCATTTTGTAGTAGGTAAAGGTATTGACTTTATATTCTAGGGATATAAAGTACTCGTCAGGAGTTTAAAAAAGATGTGCCACAAGGCCCCCGTTTTCATATAATTTTTTCCCAAGATGGCGCCTCTAAAATATGGTATCCGCGCATCAATTTCATCACCTCAAGTTTTGATTTTTTGAATTGATCCGTTCAAAAAATGAAAGGGGAGGGGGACATTAAAGAAAAGCACTGTATACTTATTGCTTGCCAGATCGCCGAGAGATCCGGGAATGTCCGGGAATTTTGCGTCTCGTCTCCGGACTCCGTATTCCATCAAGCAACATCTTTTGTGAAAAAATATTTAGCTTGCTGAATAGTTTACGGACAAAACAGCGAAACCGAATGACCACGGATTTAAGAAAATATGAATACAGACTCGTATAAATTTTGAGGTGTCTTGTTCAGAAATTTTATCTGTTTTGCAAAGTCCTGATAAAGAACGACTAAAAAAATGGCAAAATCCAGTGACTGATTTTTGAAAAATGCCAACGTCCATTGAAAAATGTTTAAAAAAATAGTCCTAAGGAAACGTATTTCCCTTCAAAGTTTAATTAATAATAGATGAGTTGCAAACATACCTATTTTCACGGTTTTTGGTGGTTAGGTCACATTGCCACACGAAATAACTACCCTAAGGGAAAAAATTGCACACATCAATTGGATAATAGAAGACTGTTTTCAGTCACTTTCCGAAAATACCTCTTAATACAGACTGTCGACATTGCAGTTGTATCTTCAGGTATTGCTGTATTTTAAATCGAAGATCAACATGGGTAAACACAAACCACACTCCCACGATAAACAAACTGTTATACTGACAGTGATAAGCATGCACGTGGAAGACGAAAAATGTTCAAGGTGGAGATACAAAAATATAGAACGGATGTCTTTGAGATTACACAAGATGGGTGCATGAGAGTAATTACTGCAGTTTTACTGGGCGCCACCAAAAACCGTGAAAAGGCCTACATGTATAGTGTAGGTTAGGCTGGAAACACGAGAACCTCGGAGGCCAGGAAAGCTGGGACATTTGAGACTTTTAAGATAATATATATTAAAAAGTCTACGAGTATATATTAATTTTGTATGCTTTTTGAAATGCAATTGATTCTTATTTTATCAAATTTCATTTATTATGTTGATGGTCATTTAGGCTCATAATATACCATAACATTCATCAGAAAAGTTTAGGTATTTTACGGCTTCGTTACTGAGATACAAGATGTTGAAGCTAATTTCTTTTAATACTATTTCTAATTTCTCCTGAATCACTTGACTGATTTAGACGGAACTGTGAATCGACGGTAAGTCTTAAGGGACTTCATCTGCATTCATTACACCAAATTTCAACTTGGTATTTCGAAGTTTAACTAAGCACGCCACAGGTCTTTTTGTCAATGCAATCAAGGGACTGAAAAAATATATTTTCTAATGCTCGAAGAAAACTAATTTTGAGGTTTGTAGCTGGAAAACTTCGTCAAATAATGGAGCACCAAGAATTGTAAATTGTAAAACATGGAAAGTACCGCTCCGAAGATAACGAAATCTTGACACTACTATGCCAAAGACAAAAGAGCATTGTAGTTTCTGAAAATCGATCCAGTGGCGGCAGAAGTATATACAAAAAAAACCGAAAAAGTAATAATCGCTTAGACGTTTTTTGACTTTTCAGAGACCCTTCTTTGTTTTCAGGAAAATTTTTCATAGGGGTTCAATTTTTGCCAGTGGTATATTGATACGCTCTCAGCCCCAGTAATTCTACGTCCCATTAATACATATTTCACACAACATAGATTTCCCCATACCTTTTCCCTTGAAACTTAGAAGTATGTAGAAGTATTTCCAAAAGATCGATCGCTGGGTAACCTAACGAGCTTATACTTAAGTGCACAAAACGCTGACCGCTCACTCTTGGCACAAGCTCATGGCCACCTGGCGTGGTTCAGCAACGTTGCCGGATGGTCGATACTGTCGGTAGGGCAGAGGAAATATTTCTAAATCGCAGCATTATCACCTGGGTGGATGTCATAGACTAATTGTATGGGTATGTTTCACTGACTTGATCCATTTAATTTTTTCGTTGTACATTTTCGTAGACAATTTTTGCGTCTGAAGGGTTAACTTGTCCCGAACATCATCCTTTATGAACTGTTGACAGCGTTACGTGAGAAGTGCAGAGTCAACTTACTAGACGCCATTTTTTGAATTCAACCTATGTTCATTACCATTGTATATTAGAAAAATTGCATAGTAGGTATAGGGAAGCAGAAGTTATGAAAAGTCTACTAGATTTCAGAACTTTGATTCAACAGATGATTCAACAAATTTCAGAATTCCTCAATAGCTGGGAGATCCAATCAAAACGTTATTATTGATTATTTAAATATTTCGAGTATGTGGGAACTACGGAGACAATTTACGTGACTCCTTTGCTGTTTATAGTTCATAGAAAGCTAAAGAAACATCCTCTTTCTGGATTTTGATTTACCGCATTTCAAAATAATAACGTACTAAAGCGTTTGACATTAGCATGAGGTATGGGAATGTTCAAGCGACAAAGGGACTCGGAATAGCACTTAAGGAAATTGCACTTCCCTCCACATTACAAGACACTAGATTGTTTAAATTATGCAGACCCCTTGTCATCCGAAATAGATATGAATAATTAATAGTACAAACTGTTTGAAACTTGAAGCTGTTGAAGGAGGTACATTTGCTCAGTCTTATGTGAATGGCAAAATTGTGTCATCAGTCTACCTTTTATTTTGAGAGAGAAACCCTCCACCTTTGGGAGAGGCGAGAGGTTTTCAAAAAAATCTGGCTTGATAACTACTCGGGGTACTCTACCTTTGACCCCAAAGCATCGCCGGCAAATATTGGTATGGAGTAGGAAGAGACTTGAATGGAATATGGAATGGAACTTAGTCGTGTTCAGCGATAAACCCAGATTCTGCTTAGGCACACATGATGATCGTGCAGGAGTAAAAAGGAGACATGGTCCAGTAATCCAGATTCATTCCACTGTGGGTGTTATGGTATGGGGTGCCATTGCTTATGGCAGCAAGTCACGATTAGTGTTGAGTGTTCGAGGTAGCATGACAACCCAGAGCTATATCCACGTTTAACAATCACTGCTTCCTTTTTTGAAAACGTTGCAAGATCCACTTTTTCAGCAGGACAATGCACGACCGCATGTCGCACGTGTTAGTTTGGACTTTTTAGAAGCGTCCGGAGTATATCTGCTCCAGTGGCCTCCTCGATCTCCAGATCTTTCCTCCATCGAACATGTATGGGACATGATTGGAAGAAGGTTGCAAAATTCACCGCACCCTCCGCGAACATTGAAGGCTCTATGAAAACAAATTCAGATGGCCCGGAATACAATCACCTTTAACACATTATTAACATTAAGGTGGGATATCTCAGAAATTTTGCCAAATTTCTAGTTAAAATTTCAATCAATTTCTATTTATCAGTAGACGTAAGACTTGTAAAAGTATGCTCAAAATTACAGCACTCCTAGTCGGTGTTGGATTTTCTATGTCATTTAATATATATTACACTCCAAGTATAATGCTCATACACCACCATGCCGACTATCTGCTTTTAGAAGTCCCTTGGCTCTACCACCAAATATTTTTCCAAATATCTT